ATACCTATACTCCTAGTTTTAGATTTACAAATTTTGCAATAGTCCATTTATTTTATATATTTTCTTTAATTGTATTATTAGTAAGATCATAGAAAAATTCTTTACCAGATACTAAACAAATATAACAAATGGTATTAGCGGGCACATCTTCATTAAAATCTGCATGTAAGACAATACTTGTTTTAGATCCAGAAATTTGTAATGGTTGTCTACTCATATCAATTACAAAGTATGGTCTGGTATCCTTAAACTGCGTTGGAGTTATATACATTAAAGATAAATCTCTGTGTACTCTATTATAAACATTCTTATAATCCATTAACATATCATAAGCAGTATCAAATTCTTCTTTTTTAAAATCTAAGTTTAATAATTCTTCTGGATATCTCATACTATCAACACCCAACCAAATATTTTTCAAATTACAATTACTAAATTCTACTGGGTCTGTCAATTGGTTATTTAACTTACCTGTTTGAAAAGCTATAATAGCAAATAAAGGATTATGGACGTTTCTATATATATTTGTTATGTCTTTGACTAGTGACTTACCATTAATATTACTTTCTTCAATGCACTGCCATGATTTGAAACTAAAAATATACTCGTTTCTCTCTGACAATGAAATTAATTCATTTACCAATTTAACTCTATTCATATCACAATAAGTCACAATTGGTATCCTAATAAGTAATTTCTCAATAACAATTTTTCCAGCTCCAGGCACCACATCTGTTTTTTCATTCTTACCTCTAAGTAAAGCATCATCGTCACTACGTCTTAAAAAACTTATTTCAAAACCTCCTCTATATACTGGATATACAATATCTTTAAAAAATCCTAAACACAAATTAGACAATTTACCAGTAACACTAAAAAAACCACCACCACTAAATCTTGATTGAAATCCATTATTTATTGTTGGTCCACTCTCATTTGCGGAATAACTAACCGTACCTTTAATCAAACCACATCTACCAACATTATCAATTCTATCTAATTCTTTACCATGTTTTTTAACAGAAATTGACTCGAACAAAAATCCAGGAAAATTGTCAACTAACATTACATTTGAACCTTTAGGATAGCTAGTACCATCGGCCTGTAAAACTTGACCAGAAATTCGAAATTTTGCCTTACTAACTCTTAAAAAATTATTTTCTTCATTTATGATAAAACTAGTAATCTGATTAGGTGCATTCAAATTTGATGTTGATATAGGGCAAAATACTTTATCCTGTTCACGGATAATAGTACGGTCATATTTTGCAAATATATTCTCCATTTATAAGGAAAAAATGTAATAAAATATTAGTAAAATAGTTCTTGAGGAATGTTTTCTTTACTCATATCATACAAACCTTCTAAATGAAATTTACTTCATTATCTTTTATTGATAATTTATTATTAAAAGATAATGATAATTCTAACATTTCTTTTTCTTTTAATTTTAATTTATAATCCTTTGTGTATTCAATATAAGAATATAATATTTTTTCTAAGTTTAAATAATATTTTCTAACATGTTCAGATTTAATCATAGCAAATTCTTTAAAATTATCTATTGTTAAAATAATCCATTTTTTACTATGTATGGTTCTTGAATTTGAATTTTTTATATCATTTAAAATATATTCATAATTATTTATTTTATTATTTTTATAATCTATTTGTTCATATGCTATTTTATGTTCATTTAAAAACTCTATAAAATGAATTTTTTGATATCTAAAATCGTGACCGGTTTTTCCGGTCACGATTTTATTATCATTTTTATTTATAAAATTCAATATATTCTCAGTAATTAATATTTCTTTTTTATTAAATAAATAATTCCATAATTCTAAAAATATATTATTATCAGATAAAATTAAATTATTTTTAACAATATATTCATCAATAATTAATATGTCACAATTTTCTCAGTTTTAAACTTAATTCATAATTTAAATCATAATTCTTAATAAAATCTAAACACAAATGACCGCATATGGGTGGGTCTGTATAAGTTTGTAGTTGATCAGTAGTGTAATATAAATCATCTTTTCCTAAATAATTTACAATTGCTTTAACTGGAGGTGAACGACCATAAGAGTCAAAATATATTTTTTTATTACCATTTTTTAACCATGCAACCCAATGTGAACCAGGCTGATTAGAATTATTTAAATTTAATATTCCACATTCATTTTTCCAAGGCTCTGCTGGTAACTTATCTTTCATAAAACAACCTCTAAAATTCTTAATATTTTTTCCTGCTTTAATAATATCAAAATTAGTTAATGGTTTTATTGCTTTTTTTTGCTTTTTTTAACCCCTGAACCAATCTGTAAAGTTTTAATATTTCTAACATTTTCTTCCATCATTCTATCATGTCTTTCTGTCTCATCCCGTTTTAATTTCTTATCTTTTGCATCAATAACAGTATTTGCAATAGCACTAGCACCTCCGGCCAATGCACTAAGGGCACCTATACCTGCTATAATAAGAGGTAAAAATCCACCTACTTTATCTTTATTTCCAAATTGAGATTTTGTAAATTTTAATCTCACACCTTTTTTGTCTTTCTTAGCTTTAGTTAACTTATTATTTTGTCTATCAGTTAAATTAAATTTGTTTTTTCCATTACCAATCTGTATATGCTTTAATTGAATAACTACATCAATTTTGTTTTTATAAGCTTTTACAAGCTTTTTTATTTGAGAATCACTCAAATCTAAATTCATTTAATAGAAATAAAATTCAATAAATCAATTTAAATTCATACCAAATACCTTTTGCTCTCATGCATTTGTGGTGACAAAAGCAGCTGTTTTTTCACCTATAGATGCATCTGAAGCTAAAAACCTCTTCATTGCTTTATCTTCCAAAATTTTATCTCCAATATGCCTTGTTTCAATATCTTTATGTTCTTTATAAAAATAATCATGTTCCATTGCTGCCTTATCTAGTTCATTTACTGGTTTTTTATTTTTTTCTAAATCAGTAAAGGGGCCAAGAAAGTTATATCCAGGCCAATGTATTTCTGGCATAAACTTACTATTTAAAAGATCATTCATAAGACCTGATCCCTCAACAACTCTTTCAGGCAAACTTGATACATAAGATATTAAATACTCAATTCCTTGCGGAGTCCTAACTAATCTTACCAACTTAGAACTAAAATAATTTATAATACTAATCTTTTCATTATAAAAATTATCATGACCTGCTTTTTCCTCACTAGCAATAAAATATAATCTTTTTAATAATTCATTTAAATTATGCATATATTTATAATCATTATGTTCTCCTTCTGTATATTTTATTAAACCTTCTCCTTCTTTTTCTTTAATTTTTTTTGGTGATGTAGGTGTCGCTGGTCTTATTTTTTGCCAAATTGGTTTAATCATCTCATTATATTTAACACTTGAACTTGATTTAGGTTTGTTTGTCTTAGTTGAGTCATTATTTTGGTATATTGAATCTGTTTCAATTAATATTTTTTCATAATTTTCAAAATCTTCTGTTGTATAAAAACCTGGTTTTGTAAGATCTTTATGAGTTAATAATCTCCACATACCTGGAGTCATTATACGTTTTTTTCCATTTAAAATTATATCATCAAAATCAAAAATTATTGGATATTTTCCGATCATATGTTGTTGAGTATCTGCATTATAATATATTCCAAACTGATTATTTTTGTCTAAATCAGATAAATATTTCTTTGCGTTTTCACCCAGTATTATTGCATCCCTAGGCATAGGAGATATTGGTGTTTCACTCATTGGAGGTCGCTTAGGTGTGTCCGTTAACTGCGGACTTAAAGTTGGTTTAATTGGATCTGGCAACCTTAACATTTCAGGGCGCCTTAAGGGTACTAGCATTTTTTGAATATCTTCGTCAGTTTTAATATTTATTTCTTTAACTTCATTAACAGCATTTACAATATTCTTTAACTCATTCGTTACAGGACCAAATTATTTCTCTTTTTCCTCTTCAATATATATGTTTCTTAAATTTGCATTTTTTTAACTTCTTCCTCAGACTATCCTCAAGTTTAAGTATTTCGTCTGCTTCTTCAACTGACATTATATCTTTTCTCATTACAGATCCACCTCTTTTTCTATCTTCTTTTCCAACCTTTTCTACTTTTTTCACTCCTTTTAAAAAAATATTTCTCATTTCCTTCATATCCATTTAATACAAAAAATTTTAATAGACATGAATTACATAAATTTAACATTATACGTTTACGTTATGCGTTTACGTTATACGTTTGCGTTATGCGTTTACGTTATGCGTTTACGTTATGCGATTACGTTATGTGTTTACGTTTATCTTGTTGAATTTATTGTAAATTTGCTTATCTATTAAATTAATCGATATAAATCCAAACTTATTTTTCCAGCAAATTGAACATAAAGATTTAAATTTATCAAAAGTTAAAAAATTACTTAACTTATCTTTCCAGTATTTTCTAATATAAAAATCTGACTCCTCAATAAAACTAAAAAATTACAATTTTGTCTAATTGATCTTGCCTCTAATAAGGTATAATTCTGGCCAATATAAATACATGAAATATTTTTGGATCTGGATCTTACAAAATAATCTTTCATTCTTTCCTGTTTTTCTAAAATATAATCATCAAATACAACTAAACTATTTGGTTTACAATCATCAACAGAAATATCTCTCATTGTTATATATACCTCTTTATATACCTCATTTTTCAAATTTACAAATATTTCCTTCATACCTTCATAAATTGGTTGCTCTATATTTTTTGTAAAAATATAAAGATTATCAAAAGGAACCCAATAATTAACAATAATATTAATAATAAAATTAGTTTTTCCTGATCCAGAAGAACCTATAATCAAACAACGCATAGGCCTTGGAAAAAGTGAATTTGGTATATCATTATCTTTAACTAAATTAAATACTTTAATTTCATAATTATTATTCATTTATATTAAATTTTTTTCTTATTAAATATATATATAAAAATAAAAATGTCTGAATTTAAAATGTCCAATTCAATTGACTCAATAGATTTAAAAATAAGATTAAATAAGCATGGACACAAATATAAATATATTAAATTATCAGAATTGTCAATTGATAAAAAATATGAAGTCACTGCTTTTGAAATCATTAACATTAATGGGCAGAATAAAGTATCTGTTGTGTTGGATAATGAATATGAACTCTTATTACCAGATAGATTTATGAAAACTATTTCTGAAAATATATATGAATTAAATGACAAGGAGTGGTCTACAATCTATATTTTTCATAGATATATAAAAACACTTGAAAATGGAAAATTATACTATCGTATAGAGTTCCAAGGTAATTCTCTAGACAGTCCTGTAATTAAAGTATTAAATAAGTTAAATGAAGAAGATTACAAATACAAACATATACAATTATCTGATTTAACTATTAATGAACCTTATAAAATATCAACATTTAAAATAATAACTACAAAATATGGTGAAAGAGTTTCTGTTCTATTAGACAATAGATATATGCTATTATTGCCCTATAGTTTTGTTAATGGTATTTCTGAGGAAGATATAGACCAATATGATGGTGAAATGTATATGATGTACAAAGGTAAAAAAATTTTAGTAATGGAAATCAATCTATTTAATAGAATTTCTGTAATAACATTTTTTTTTACTATTAAATGAAGTTAATCAAAATCATAAATGGGTGTATACGTTTTGAACATTATATGCATAATGAAAAACAAAGTATGTCTATTGGATTATATGCTTTGTCAGTTGCCAATTCTAATGATTTAATTAAAATAAAAAAAGACTGTCAGATAACAATTAACATTGGTACAATTGATATTATAAGTGGACTTTATACTGTTGAAAAGTTAAATAAATTAATAAAACCATTAGTTATCTCTATTGTTGATAAAAAAATCAAAATAGAATCTCCATATTACTATAAATTGGATGAAAATTTAAAAAAATATTTAGGATTTAATGATATATATTATTTTTCAATGACAAGTGAGAAAAGAATAATTTATTATCCTACTAGTGATGAATATTACATAAATATTGAATATGAATGTGAATTTAAAGTCGGAAAAGAGTCTCATAAGATACCTATTGGTGTATATTCTATTAATGAAATTCAAAATCTATTAAATCTAGACAAGAACGTTGTTAATACTAAAATAACAATAAATAATAATAAATATTTAATGATTTCAACTAACTATGAATATGTTTTTGACTCTCACTTAACTGATTGTTTAGGAATTCCAGTATTTAATAATTTCTACAAATTATATAATTGA